CTCCTTACCCCACRATGCAGATGGTTCTTCAGGGCTTGTTTTCCACACAAATGTCAACCTGCTCTTCCTTCCTCATGATCAAAGAACCTATATCTAGAAATCTTTTTCTGACAAGGATTGCAGTTTCTTGTTCATTTCCATTCTGAGCACAGGCTGCCCCTGGGGCCAGGGCTGCAAATGTGCTATGGGAGAAAAAAATAAAAACACTCTTGCTCACGTAGGTGCAAAATGCTAGGAAAGGCACCTTGACTCTATATGATGTGCCCTTGTGGAGCCACAACCTTTATCAGCAGTGCAAACCAGTGCTGGGGCTTATTTAGTATGTGGAAGTTGCTTCACACCCAACCCAAAGTCATCTTTTCTGTTCAGGGAGTTTTCACTTGCATTTCCCCCCACCCCTTCTCAGTCCTGGTTGGTCTTGCTGCAGCGTTGAAGCCTCTGATACATCACCAGTAATATAARTAATATAAATTCAATAATAAAATTCAATCTAAATGTATTTTTTCCCTTGAAAGGTAATTATTTAGCTATATCCTCAGACCTATCTGAACCACTTTGGGTTTCTGGATTCGTGCATGACATTTGATTAGCTATTCATAGGCACTTCTTACATAACTGGAAATGTTATTAATGGCCGTAAAATCATCCAGCCCTGAAACAAAGTGAAGCCACAATAAAAGCTTGCCACAGCTTTAGCCTTCCTGAGCTCCAAGTGTGACTCCCACAGAAGGGCTGCATGTCATGTAGCGGTACAGCCCTTGAGGAAACGGGCTCACAAAATCCAGGACTGGTTTCACCCACCTCTTTAGAAGGCTCATGTGTGAGTTAATTTGGGTATTTGGGCTGCTCACATTGCCTTTGTATCRGGGAAATACGTGTGCTTTTCTCCCTGCTGGGCTTGTTAGTGCCCGAAGCMGTAAATAGAAATTACTCAGCAGTGCTTTCAGGTAGGTTTTGCTGTTAGTGATGTTCCTGTAGTGCCTCAGTCCTGTCTGAGAGTGCTGCAGGGCTGAGCTCCTGCTAAGTGAATTATCCAGCTTCAAAGCCAGCTGCTTTGCAGCAGCAGAGGTGCTGGATGGTGTTTGGTAGTGTTCACATTGTATTCAAACCACTTTAAAATGGCAGATTTAAACTCCAGATACGGGAGGTTTAAGGAGTTTGTGCTGTGCAGAAGCACTTGCTGGGGACCCTCCTGCAGGTTCACAGCAGCACCGTGAGATGTGGCACTGAACATCAAACACTGCCTTCTGCCTCCAAACTGAGCTGTTCTGGGGTGYCTGGGACACGGGTCATTCCATGGTAGCAGTCGTGCATGGTAAGCCCCGCTCAAAGCCACCTGCCTGGAGAAAAATGCCTCAAATGCTTATTTGGTGCCAGAAGCTTCAGTGCCATTTGGTTTTGCATCGCTTGAATTGTCACCTTTGACACAGACRCACAGTTCTCCTTATCACTCCCTCCTTGGATGCCAAAGGATCTTCATTCTCTCTAATGAAGGGGTCTATAAATGAGAAGTTAAATATGGCTAATTACTTGAGCTTCTGTGTGTTTCTGTCTGTGGTAGAGGTTTAGCTCACTAGAAGAACATGATGGGAGCTGGAAAAACACTGGAAGTGTGGTGGGAGAGAGTAGTGCTGCAAGTGAGGTGTTATGGTGTTGTCCTCATTTGACTGGTTGCRAGTGAAAATAAATGTTCTGGTGTGTTGTACCCACCTTGGGGCTCTAGCTGCCATGGTGCAACTCTGACAGAGCCGTGGAGCTCTGGTTTGTTCGTTCAGCAYTTGAGTGCCTTGCTGCTCGAGCAGCTATCAGGATTGCATGTAAAACTGGATAAGCTCAGATGCAAACCCAGCAGCTGAGAAATACACCAGGGAATGTTCCTTGTCATTGCAATCCAARTGTGATGGTGTCTGGGGATGATGAAGATGGGGAAGAGGAGACTGCAGGATAATGATGGCAGTAAGGGCTTGCAGCCACATAAGAAGCATCTCARTTAAAATCATCGATACATAGGAGGTGGCCAGGAGTGTCACCCACAGCATGTCCACACCTCGCAGGGTGCTGGTGCCTTCTGGTGTCTGGAGCACCTAGTTGTAGTGATGTTAAGGGTGACACCATTGGCCAATCGTTACCAGACAAACAGCTCCAGTTGTATTGTAGTCTCTTAACAATCTCATAATTTCTTGTAATTACAAGAAATTATAATCCCATGTAATTGTAATCCTATGAGGATGAGGACCACTGATCTATCCTTGTTGATACTTGCGGTTTTTAAAATCACATCTACTTGTTGCAGGTACCTTCCTATATTGCTCAGGAGTGGGATTGGGGAGCTRCAAGGGCTGCTACATCTGATTCTTACACATGTTCTGTATAAAGGATGTATGTAAAAAAGGTGCTATGTATCTTTTTATTGCATGGCCCTTGACCTCTGCTTTGATGAGGGGAAGACATACAGCTCTTGCTCTGTGACAAACTGATTTCACACCCRCTACTTTAGTAGGTCCAAGAGAGCCTGAAAAAGTTTTTGTGGTAGTAATGAGCTCCTAGTGACCCCTGAATCTCAGACACTTTCTCTCCATCATGTTTTATATTAAGCAGCTTAGGCTAACCTTTTCTGAAAAAGATGCTTCTCATAACCTGCCAATTTGTGTAGACACTTAATGATTAGTCCTTTGCAATTAAGTGGCAGRCTAACCTGAGTTAAGACTTATCAGTGCTGTGAAACCAGAGGCACAAAAATAAATATCCCATAATAATACTCTGGGGTATAGCTTGGCCTTGGAGGGGATCCCTGATTCCATGTGGCAGGGACACAGCAGTGTGTTTGCAGCCTGTTCTATGCAACTTCTCCTGGGGATGCAGGGCAGATGTGTTTGGCATTGAGAAGAGCCTTGGGGTCAGTTCTATCACTAGGAAAGACTTAAGTGGCACATTTATTTTAACCTGTCCAACCACATGGATTTACAAAGGTAGTGTAAAGTGTAAAAATACCAAAGGGAATGTCACAATTATATTCAAAAACCTCATCTGCTGCAGTGGCAGGGGGAGGGTTGGAGGTTGGCTCATCAGTCATTGCTGCTCTCTGAGGACCAAAGTGCTACATCTTGTTCTTGTGCCTGTTCTTCAAACTGCTACTCATGGTCCTTGCAATAAGTGATCCGGTTCTTTTGTARCCTCTTTCTTCCTGGCTTCCTTGGGTGCAACGTTCCTTGCAGTGAAATGTTGTAGCATATATCATATCAGCATTTTGCCATGTTGTATATGACCATGCAGGAGATCTGGCCATTTTTGTCTCCTTAACCCTGATTTTATCGTGAACACTTCTGCTATGTGAGATAGGGGTAATTGGGTGAGCTATAAATCATCATCTACTCTGGCAGTTGGGAAYTGTGTCTTGTAATGATCAAGAATCCTGTCTCATGCTGACAGTTTGTGGTAGTCCATTTGTTGCAACCRAGCCAGGTCTGAGACTCTCCAGCCCTTACATTAAAGCTTAAGTTGTGTCTCGGGAAACAATTCAACCCCTTCATTAAGTGGGCAGCAATACAAAAGTGGGTAGAGAATCTGGTGCGCATGTTTCTCATAAAGGATGTTGGAAATCTACATTTTTTCATTACTGACTAAAATTCAGATTGAGTGCAATGAAGATGCATCTGGTGAGTACTTGGCTGTGGCTGTGCAGGTGGGTGACCTAGATGATAAAACAATCTCTGCTGACTTTGAAATGCACTGAATTTTTTTCAGTGTTTACATCCTCTATGTTAATATGTGAAGGAGTCCTATAGATAGGAATGCTGCTTTTGGAAATTCCAGACAGTGGCTTGAATGTCTCCAGGGATGCAATTAAGGATTGTTTCCAAATTGTCCTGACCTTTCCATGCTGCTGAAAGTCATTGTCCTCCCTCACCTTCTCCTCCCATTGCTCCCTTCTCCCATGYGCCACATTAGACACACATCTACCAACTTGCTCCATCTGCTAATTCACCCAAACATGAGGACAGCAGGAAGAGAAGGGGTGCTGGAAGATATTGACYTACCATGTGCAAGGAGTGCCCTGCTGCAGCAGCCTCTGCAAATGTAGTCCAGTTTACAGAAAAGTAGACAGAAAATGTATTTGATTTATAAGTGTGTTCTCAGAAATAAAACATAATCTACTGCAGAGCCTCTTAATCTAATGGATAGAGGCAGAACAAGACTCAGAGGCTAGAAGCCAAAACCAAAGAATTCCAATTAGAAATGGGACACAAATATTTAACCAGTTGAGTAAACTACCTTCAGACAGAAGAGTGTCTTCTCTTCTTCATCTTGTAATGCTTTATATTCAGTCTGGGTGCCTTTAGACAAAATACACTTCAGCCAAATTTGAATCATTTGGCTCAGTGCATGGTAAATGGGTGAAACTGTATAGTGTGTGATGTACAAGAGGTCAGACAAGGTGATCTGATGGTTCCTCCAGCTTTCGATTCTCTAAGAAGCTTTAGCATGGCAGGAAGGATGGGGCTGGTTAAGGTGTTAGACTGCGACTCCATCTGTGTCCTCCTGGGACCCTTCAACATGTTCTTCCAATCTTGGGAGAGGATGCTTTGGATAGAAACTAAAGGTTATAAATTTGGAAATTACAGAACTAAATTCCCATGTTCTTTTTTTTGCAACCAGCACTTAATCCATGTGTGATCCAACCCACATATGAATTTGGAATGTTCCATCCTGCTTTCATTATTTCCTTAAAAATAAGAATTGTCAAGGACACTTTTGCATGACTTACCTGACCCTAAAGCACCTCAGTGCATCTTTTTGCACTCTCTCGATGATGCTCTTGGGATGGGACAGGCTTGAMTTTTGCAGCAGATGCGTTAGGAAGAAAGTTGTTGGCGTGAGTGGCTGAAAATAGAAGCTTGTTTACAAAGCTGGTTTTGCATTATCAGCTGTAGTGCTCCAATAATTAAGGCTGTGAACTTAATTAGCTCAACACTCCATAATTCTCTTCTGCCTCTCTCGAGGCTTGTCTGCATACGACTCTGCGCTGCTTSACTCGTGCTGGGAACATCTCCGTGCTGCGGAGGCTGCGTTCACACCAGTACCACCTTAACTACTGTGGATCCTCCRCTCTGATTTTGAGCATGCAGACCCTCCGTAGGGCTTTCTAGAGAGTCCATCCCTGGATCCTTTGGCTGCTTTTATTAAAACCATACAGGCAGCAGTCCTGATCTTGACTGGAGCATCGGCAGAACTGAATGATGCCATTGTTACTACTGATTGAAAGGGTGCTTTTACCCTGGCTCAAATGTTGTGTCTGCTTTTAAATGGAAAATGTTTCCTAACACTGAATAATATAGTAACATTTCTGGCCAGTGTGTTTTTTTGACAATAAAATACTGCCACATGCTTACGAAGGGAGGGGGGCCGCCGCTTTCACTTCCCATATCTCAGCTACCCTGTTTCTGACCCATGTTCTACCCTGGGCACAGGACCTCACCCCAAAAAGGCCCATTTCCCACTAAACCCACTGCAATGTGCCCAAGCAAGAGCCCTGGACAAGGCTGCCCCATTGCTGGACATCAGGCACAGGGTATCTCCTGACCCACAGAGACAACCCACGCGCGCTGAAAAAATGTTTTCCATCTCAAATGCGTGAGTTTCGGCTGTTCTGACTATCCCGTGTGTGTGTGTCCTTCCTGTTTGGACAGATATTTGATACATACACCTCAAATGAAGAGGGCTGGACGTGATTAAAATACAGAGCCAGGCCACAGGCATGTTCTTTCACGCGAGCCCCCCACCAGCAAACTGGTGGAGCCGCAAGGGAATTTAGGGCTTGTTATGTTGAGTAATTCTTTAAATATTTTAGATGTAGAAAGGGAAATGTGAGGTGCTGCGTGCTGGCACGTTGTGCTTTCCCATATCATCCTCCTCAAGGTTTGGTACGCTTAGGCTGAGGTACTTTCTGTTTCTGTATTAACCTCTTGGCATAAAAAGATTGAGTCTTCCTGATTTATTTGAAATTAAATTAAAGTTGGTATGTAAAATGATTAGCTTTATCAAAATACATAAATTTTTAAAATTCCCTGAACTCCCTGGGTAAGTGACGTGCCAAGTTATTAGCGTGTGACATTAACRTTTCCCCTTAATTGCGGGGCCGCGATGAAAACCCCTCTCGCGGCGGGTGCAGCGCTCTGGAGCCAGGGCTGGTTCCAGGCGTGTGATTAACAGCTCTGAATGGGAGACGGGACATTTCCCTTGGATGTACCGGCTGCAGTGAGGCTGATGGCACTCCCAGAGCGCGTGCTCCATCCCCGCTGTTGCTCACGTACGCATAAAATAAACTATTTATTTTGCTCTTTCACAGATAGCGCTTGCATAACTCAAATGCTTTGAAATTCAAGGTAAAAGCAAATATTCCTGCGCTGTTCTTCCATGAGCTCCGCTGTTAAGCGGTTGCGTATGATGTGGCTGGCAGAACATCTGCAGCCAAAGCAAATGCACTTCACTTGCCTCTCTTTCCCCTGGTTGTATTGCAGAGGGCTTTGGTTGCCCGCTGCCTCTCAACTCCGGCGTTCCCACTGATGCAGTGGGGGATGCGACAACACGGCTTCATCTTCCGTATTGCCTTTCATTCTGGTTCCCAAATGCTCCAGTGAGTTAATCACTAACAGAGAGGMCAGGGAAGAGCCATATGCAAAAGAAAGAGATTTTCAGCAGGGACTGAGACAGAGGTGAACGCTGTGAAGATGAGAGGAGGACAGGACTCCTGGCCATGCAAGGGGGAGCGTTTTCACAGGACCATGATCCCGACTTCGCGGTTGGCTCACCGAACAATGAGGAGAGGGAAGCTCCAGAGCTGTTATGCAATATAGCACGAAGACAAAGCTTGCTGAATTTCTAACAGATAATTTATGATGTAACTCTTGCAGCGATGGAGCCCCTCCATTTTGTGAAACAGAATGTCCTTTAGAAAATATTTGCTCTTAGCTCGCACACGCAGATTCAAGGAAATTCTTGCAGGAGGGTTTGAGTCTAATAAAAYGGGAATGTGTGACCTGGCCCACATGATTATTTGCCCGGTTTTATCCTTTTGTTATTATTTCCAAATGTGGAATTCTCATTCTTCTAAAATGCTGCAGGTGAAGCTAGTCCAAGAGAAAACAATGGGCTCTGCAATTAAAGGCAGCACCTATTAGGGCTGTAGCAAGGCTTGCAGCGTAGGCCAGCATCCAGGATAACACGTGTTCCAGGGGATTTGTGGAAATCTCGCTCCTAGAATTCTGCCCTTGGGAGTGTGGGCCCCATCTAGGCTAAATGGTGCTGGCTGGGGACACCTGGGTCCTTCCTACTGTCTTGGGGCACTTGCTCCAGACCATTCACGGTGAGCAGATGTGTTGCCTTGGCCCAAAGAGCACAGGGTTTGGCTCTTGTGTCCTGAGAGGCAACAGTTTGCAGATGGTATGGACCCCTCCGCCAGGATGCAGCTCTTCCAGGACAGGGGCTGTGCCATTTTTCCCTTCTAGTATTTAAGCACTGGTGCCTGTGTAGTGCAAAAGACAGTGTGGCAAGTTCCGTAACTTTCTGCTTTAGCATTTGCAATACTACCTACCTAAAGAATTTCATTTTAAAATGTGAATATTCCTGCTTTGCCTGCCAGGTATTCCAACTGTAAGAGCTGGATCTTTTAAGATCCTTTCAAGGTTCTTTATCCTTGCTTTGGGTCGTGAAACCAAACTTGGATGGCAGTGTATAACCTTGGCAGAGGTTGTGAGTTGGCTTTGTGGTACAGCAGCGCAGTTGTGGTGGTGCATGGGGTTGGCACAGGTTTGCAGCTTGTACTAAGGCTGCAGCAGAGCTGTCACTAGCAGGACATTGGGACTCTGTCCATGCCTGTGGGATGAGGAGCTATCAGAACAAATGCAAYGACTATTTTCCAGAATGTAAACACCCTTGCAGCTTAATGGCTCTATTTATGCTGATGGAGATCAGGAAACACACKTTGTTATTTTAGTCTGAGTAAGCTCATGCAGATGGTAAGCAGAAGCGCTGTGTTTGGAGTTTCTGGTGTTCCCTGACAAGCYAGGTTGCATATGAGTGTATTAACCTTGCCTTTGAAAAGTGCTTGATTTTATCAGCTTGTTTACCAAACTGTCACAACAAGGCATAAAACCACAGAGGACTCCCATGCTGATATGAGAAATGTGCGTGTTCCTGGTAGCGGAAGAGGAATATGAGTTTTTTGCTCTGTATTAAATGTGGTAACAAAACATTTTTTAACAAAAACCACAAAGYAACCAGTCAAACAAGGAGCCAGGGGCAAGTCTGTGGCATGAGGAAGACGTCCCATGGGACAAATTGCTCTTCTATTCATGCTTCTGCATGCTCTGCAGCATGCTCATGCTCATTGCATTGCTCTTCTATTTCATGCTTCTGCAGATGAGTTGGGTGGGATTTGTTGCATTGCTCTAGAAAAGCCTTTTGAGTTGTATTGCATAACTGTGCCAGCAAGTCCCAGCTTTTCTCCACACCAGACCTCTCCCACTGGGCAGCTGTGGGTCTGCTGGGTGGCTCCTGAGCCGAATGAGTTAAGTTGCATTCTCTGTTCCAAGTGGGAGCGAAGAGCCATTGCAAAACGTTTCCCCCCCCGTTGGCTCTGTGTGTTGTTTTAAAATTAAATTGGTTCTGGTTAGCAAACAAGAACAGGACGACAAAATTAAATTTTCAGAGGAATGTTGTGAATCCTGTGTGAAAAATAAACCTCAAAACATTTTTCCTCCTGCACTCCCCAGCCTGCTTTCATCCCCTCTTTGCTTAGCATCTATCTCTCCCCAAGTCCTTCACCTCTTCATGGATATATGTTGGCCACCTCGTGGGTGACAAGGCTAATGTCATCATTCAGATGTGCTCTGACTTGAAGTGGGAGGTGATGAGAACTGAGAGTTCATGGCTTGGCCTGTAAACATATTTTTGCCCGTKTTGCTTGTCTCATTCCTTCTGTTCTTTGTTCTTTTCTCTCTGACCTCCCAGCCCATGCTATGTCTGGGAGAGGTTGTCTCTCCTTCAGCAGGTGGATGCTCTGCAGGTCCAGAAAGTGCAAAGCACTAAACCTCAGACGTGCAGGAGACAGCATTAGTGCTGGAGGCAGARTTAGGCATACAAAGTCTCATTCAGCCCTATGCAGATGACTACCACAGGCCATCTGCAAYGCTTCAGTCTTGCTGGAGTCCAGCACAGACACTGCATTGGAGGAGCTACACCCACATAGGGCTCTGTGATGGACAATACAGATTTTTCCTTGTCTGCTTCCATCTTTTTATTTATTTATTTATGTGCAGATGGAAAATCTTTGACACAAATTGGCACTCCTTAAATTCTGTTCCTCTGGAAAGCTCCTGCCGTTCTTAAAAGCTTCTCCTCCATTTGGTCAGCCCTGCAGGCATTTGCTGTGCACTTCATAAGTCATTTCTGTAGTCATTGCCTCACTATTTGTGTCAAATCTTCTTGGATATTTATTTTTAATTTGGCATGAGCTTCTTCTGAGGGCTCAGCAGACTCCTTGTTTTGTGTGAATACGGACATCTTGCTCTGATCCCTTTAGATGGGACAACAGGTTACTACGAGTTTCATTTCCTTGTATTGGTGTTGCATGTAAAATGCTGTGACTACTGTTGTTTCCTGGCTTTTACTATTGTTTTTATTCAGTAATTAAGAATCCCGTTGTATTTTAATGTCAAGTTTTTCACCTGCTGAAAAGGCTGTTGTCCCTTCTTGTGACTCTTCCCTTGCTGTGACTGGATTGGTTCAGTGCRTACTTTTCCCTGGACCTTGACAGCAGAGCTATGACTCCTTCTAAATCCTTGTGACAATTGCCCAACATTCTCTTCTGCTTTCTTTCTGCCCGCTTGTTGCTTCTTGTACCCTTAGTTTTCCTAATGCGGGATCATGTCAAGCAATGTGACACTGAGGGGTGCAGAGATGCTGAGGGAAAGGTACCTTGTGGTCCATCACACCAAAGCAGGTGCCTTGTCTGCTCCACTGGTGATAACTATAAATTTACAGGGATTCAGAAGCTGTCAGGGCAAAGTCAGGAAGGAGAAAATCCGTAAAGGATTTGGTAAGCGATGCCTCTGGCTCACAGAGCCCCCGGATTGCAGAATCCCAGAGGCTGGGAGCGTATCTGGGGAAGTGTTTTGGTGTGTTTGCCCCTTGCCTGGCTCTTCACCAGGCATCTGCTCTTTGTCAATGTGAGAGAACATAGTGGACTTAAATGGCCTCCAGGATGATGTGGAGCAGTTGAGTAACCTCCCAGGCTCACCTGAATGGGGAGGACAGAGAGGATCAGTCCATAAAGAGAAGAAT